AAGTAAAGTCACGTGAGTGGAAAAACCAAATCTTGTTAGAGGTGTTTTCCATCCCGACATGAAAACCAAGGCGTCGCGTATATACGTCAAAAGAAGGGTCACGAGTCATAGGTTCTAAGAAAGCCACAAAGTCAAGGTTGTGCTCACGAATGAGGGATCTAACATGAGCAAGAGTGGTCCTATTAGCCAGACCACGGGCATTCCATGTAAGCGATGTGACTGACATGTCAAACGTCAGTGATACCGCCTAACTGGAGCTGTCCGTGGTTAGGCTGAGTCTGTATGTCTGGTAGGGTCAGAGCTCGGCTAGCAGAGAGCTGCGCAGTCATCGATCTGGTCTGTGGTCTCCGGAGCTCTGAGATCTCCTGGAAAGGTCCCCCTTGTATAGGGGGAAACTCCTGGGGTAAGAGGATGAGCTGAAGGTGCTCCAAAACCTCGGGGCTCTGCGCCTGGCCCTGAGGGGAAGACGGTCTAAGCTCACTAGCGGGGGATGAGGGGGAAGTGGAAGGGAGGGTCAGAAGTGGGCGAGCTGGTGGGCAAAGAAGAGAGGTAAGGTGGGGGGAGGGCTCTACGATCATGAGAGCTGAGGAGGAATGAGAGAACTCGATACACAATGGGATGGCAGACGACTCTATCTCCTCCACTAAAAGGTCATCATCATCATCAAAAGGGGAGCTGGTCGATGCTCCCAGATGATCGGAGGAAATGTGGAACTCCTCCTCCTCCGACTCAGAGTCAAGCACCGAGAAGCGGGAATGGGTAGCTATGGTAGCTGACTGGAGGGACTGGTGGGGAAAAAGGCCTGTAGCTTTGGCCTTAGGCCTATCAAGGTTACCCTCCTTGGGCTGAGTGCCCTCAAAGGTGACCTTGCCCTTGCCCTTCTGTCCCTTCGGATCAGGGCCGTGGGCCGGGGCCTTGCCCTTCTCCTTAGGGCTCCTCGGGGCGGTAGTAGGTTGTTTATTGTGTTTTTGTGTGTTTTTCTATGTGCTTTTGTGTGCTTTCGAGTCGATTCTAGGATTGTTTTAGGGTTGGCCGGTCCATTTTGTCGTTCTCCGTGTTTTTTTTTATGCTTTCCTTTTTATTTTATATTTTGGCGTACTTTTTCGTGTTTTTCGGTTATTAATTTCAGGGTTATTCCGGAGATCGAAAGAGAGAGAGAGAGTCGAACTATGTTATGAGAGAGTCGAGCCACATTTAGTGAGTCCGAGCCAAAGTTTCTTTTGCATGATCGCGAGCCCGCCATTGCTTCCTCGAGGTCCAGAGTCCTCCCTACATCACCATCGCGTGCCCGCCGGCGTTTCCTCGAGCTCGAGAGTGCTCATTTCTCACCATTGCACACCGCGCGTGCCCGCCACCATTTCCTCGAGGTCGAGAGTCCTCCCTACATCACCA